CAGGGCGCCAGACTGGGATGATGAACGTGAGACGTGGCAGCTCACGCTGGCAAACAAAAAGAGGGGTCTTGGGAAGAATGGCATTCGCTCAGCGGGCGGCCCATTGATTCAGGGCGTCGCTGCCGACAAGTACAAGTACAAGTCAAAGAACGGAAGCAACCTCGAGCCTGCGTTCTTCCACGATCGCCCATCTCTTCTGAATGAAGAGCTCATGCATTCATGCAACGTTGGCGGCGTGATCGACCTTGCTCCCGGAGGAGGGTCGCTGGCCTATGCCTGCCTGAAGAAGCCCCCACCCGCCCAGTACATCGGCGTAACCTTGTCGGAGGAGCGCGCCAAGCAGCTGAGGGATCACTGAGAGTCTCTGGTGTTCAAGGGGATGCAGGATTCGAAATGCACCGACCTGCACGAGCCTCTGCTCTGCGATGCCATCGCCGAGTGCACCAAGGACGACGGCGATGCGGAGGACGACGAGGGCGATGGTGACCAGGGTGGGAAGGCGGCTGCAGCTAAGCCGTCGAAGGGCAAGCCCAAGGGCAAGCCAAAGGGCAAGACCACCAAGACCTCTGCTGGTTGTGGCGGCGATGCCGAGGACCTAATGAACAAGCTCAAGGAACTGCAGGCCCAGGCGGCGAAGGGCAAGAAGCGCAAGGCCGAGCCCGACGCCGACGGGTTGGAGCCTGAGGGCGATGAGGGCTGCGGCGAAGATGACGAGGCCGATGATCTCTAATGGGTGTCTCGTTACTTCGCCGCGTTTTTCTGTGCGAAGTGCCTGGCTGGCGTCGTCGAGTGCCGGGTTTCTCGAGGCGGCTCGGTGGCGCGCGCAGTGGCGCGAGCACTCGTGGCCTAACGAGTGCTCTGCAGGATGATGGATGGTGGTGGTGAGGAACAGGGAAGGACGTAGATAAGGCAAACAAACTAACGCACGTGGGGAGGGGGGGAGGGGCGGGAGGAGACAGACGCGTGACAAGCAGGGCGACAGGTTGGAGGAGGACGAAACATGAGAACCGCGGAAGGAGAACGATGATGATGAGGGGACGTGTGGGAGAGGAGGAGGAAAAGGAAGAGGAGGAGGATGAGGAGGAAGGATGAGGAAGACAAGTGAGGAGGAGGATAAGAAAGAGGAGGGGGAGCGGAGGAGGAGGGGGAGGAGAAAGATACGGAGGAGGATGGCGGCTAATAGGAGAACCTGCGCAGTAGCCCCCGTCCGCCGTGCCCGCCGCCCGCTGTGGCGGCTCAATCGGCAGGCCAGTTGGGCCGCGCCGACGCGGTGAACCCAATGCAGGGCCCTGGGCCTTCTGGGTGGCTCGACGGCGCCTGCGACGAAATCGAATACGTCTTAGTAGGAAGGCGGAAAACGGAGAGGCTCGGGGCCCCGGCGGATAGGAAACGTTCACAATGCCTGAGCCCCAGCAGGGCCGCGGTGCAGACACTGTCTGTGGGGCGCGAGTCCTTGGGCGAAGGCTACCCCAGAACCTTCGAGGCAATCCGTCGTCGTTCTCGTGCACGTGGACCCCACACAGTGAACTCTTGCAGTATCTGTGATGCGCGTAGGCGATGCAATCTTATATGCAGTGCAAATTGAGTGGTGTAATTTATCGATACGTGTGTGTGCTGGTCTACGCGTTGCAACCAATGGCGCAACGTAGCTTATGCGGTCTATGTGGTGCAATACAGAAGCCAAATATATGGTGCAAGATATGTGATGCATGCTACAAGTTTGCACAGTCGTCGCTTCCTCCTTCCCTCTCCATCATCACCATCATCGTCGTCGCCGACGCCGTCGCCACCACCATCCATTACCGCCATCACCACCACCATCATCATCATCCTCATCATCATCACCATCACCATCATCATTATCATCATCATCGTTACCACCACCACCATCAACATCACCATCAACATCACCATCAGCTTCAGCTCTGTCATCGTCATCATCAATGCCAATACCCAGTATTTGTTTGCGACCGCCCAACATCAGAAACACCATGTCGAGCGTTTGCGTCGTCATCACAATCACCCATCGTCATGGCGATCGCCATCGCCACCGTCGTCATGAGTCAGACCATGTGGACATATAGCGCGATTGCTATTTTCAAGATGATGTTCTTGTTTGGGGCGTCTCAAGAATTGGGTGTCTCGTTGTTTTCTTGGTCCACAGTATATGGGCGTTCCGAACCAGACGCTTGATGTTCGACGCCCTTGGCTTGGATACGCGTGTTTTTGATGCACTGTGCATGGGGTCTTTAATTTTTGAGACGCTTGGTTCCACCACATGGTTGGGGCGGACGTGTTTAATTGGATGGATTATTCTTGTTGTTGCACGGCTGGTGGTTGTGACGACTATTTCCAGTTGCCTACAAGGCTTCGGCCTCGGCTTCTGTAAAGGCGGTGGGGGCGATGCGCCTCGCGGCGCATAGCCCCCACCTGCGCCGACCACTCACCCAGCTACCGGCGATTGCGAGGTAGCGCATTCATCATTACTTGTGCCTCGTCGGCGCCCCGCGCGGCCGCTTGCGGGCCCAAGGGGGTCTTGGGGGGTGTCTTGGGGGGTGTCTTGGGGGGTGTCTTGGGGGGGTGTCTTGGGGGGTGTCTTGGGGGGTCTTGGGGGAGGTCTTGGGGGGGTGTCTTGGGGGTCATTTTCTTGGGGGGCTGTCATGGGGGGCATCTTGGGCGTTGTGGAATGACAGGGCGAGGCGCGCTTGCCAGGAGAGGCCAGTCGCCGATCCCCATGGTGGGGCGTTCATCCCGCTTCGCGATACCTTTGTGGCCCCGCCCGCACCATTCCGTCTTAGGCCGTCTTGGGGGCCGTCTGCGTCTATCTAGGCTGTTTCGGGAGCAGTCTTGGTTGTTGGGCTGGGTTCCAGAGAAACCCAAGACGACGACCCCAAGGAGCCCCCAGAACGTAAAGAACGGTCCAACACGCACGCTCCCGCGCAGCCCCCCGACCGACCGAGACACCCTTCCGACGGCTCTCCAGGCCTCCAGGAGGCCTCCTGAACCCCCAGGGGGTCCGGAATATCCCACACCCCCGAGGGGCCCGGCTAACAAAACCCGCGAGGCACATGCAACAAACAACGCCGAACAGCGCTGAGGAACTGGAAATCATGGAAATCCCACAGTTCTTTTTTTCTCCAAGTTTGGTCCTCGGTCTATCTACTCTTGCACAACAGACCACAATTCAGAACCCCCTCATCATTTCCCAAAGAAGAACCCAGGAAGCATTTGAGGGCCCCGAATCGTTGAATACCGATTGGGTTTTAATGATTAGGCCGCCGCCGCCCCATAGGCTCCCAAGACGGCCCCACGACGGCCCCAAAACGGGCCAAGACGGCCGCAAGATTGCCAAAGAGGCGCCCAGGACAGCTCCAGACCACCCCAGAACAAACTCAAGATGAGCCGACGCAGGGCAGCGACCTTTTAAGCAATGCTGAGACTCCTTGGGCATGTCTCCTTGGAGTCGTACTCGTCTCTCCAATGTCAACGCCGTCACTCGGCAACTTTGCAGTCCGCATGGACCAGATTAGGGGCATGAGTTCTTCTCTTTGGCCGCGGCTGGCGCACTATGCAGGGCGCACCTTGACTGGGCTGTTTTCCGAACCCGCTCATACAGTAGGATTGACACTATGTAACAACACCTTGCACTATCGAGGTCGCATGTGCATGACAAGTTGAAGCGTGTTCGCAATTGGATGACTCACATGGCCGTGATTACTTGGCTCGCTGGGCTCCCTAGCATGGGAAGGATCTTCGGGGAAAGACAGCCCTTGTGTTGATTGAGGGATTCAAGCTTCAAGGGCAATCGCGGATAATTCAGTACAGCGTTGAAGAACATTGCTTTGTTGCCAATTCTAGACGCTTCGCGTAACCCAGCAAACCCATCATCCAGGATGCCCAGACGAATTGCCCTCCTCAGAAGGGATGTGGATCTAAACTCTCGCGGAACCTCCGTCCAAGTCCCGGGAGGGAAAGGGGAAGGGGTGAACCCCTCCCTGAAGGGGAAAAGGGGGGGTGGAAGAGGAACCTCCCAAGACAACCTACGTACTACGCCCTGTAGGTCAAATGTCATATATATATATATATATATATATGTTATTTATGTATCGGAGTAGGCCTGGTGGCGGGGGTGGGGTGGTGCCAACGGTTGGCATGGCCGCCCCGGGCGTCCTGTGGGGTCCACGAAGCCGCCCAAGACGGACGGCCCATGAGGCCCCAAAGACAACCCAAGAGGCCCACAAGACAGCCTCAGCCAGGCCCAAGACGCTCAAGAGCGCCCCAAGAGGGCCTTCAATCGGCAATATATGTATGTACGCATATATGTATGAACATAGATATAGATATATATATATATATATATATATATATATATATATATATATGTATGTACATATATATACACATGTATACACACATATGTATATGCATATCGATGCACATATCTATATGTATATATGTATATACAGACATAAGCATACACACATGTATATACACATACATATATATATGTATATATATATATACATATAAAAGCATATCTGTATAAATACATATATATATATACATACAAAGAGGGGGGGCGGGTCCCAGCCCGTGGGGCGGACGCGACGATGGGTGATGTTGATGATGACGCCAACGATCGACATGGTGCTTCTGATGTTGGGCGGTCGAAACCAAATGCTGGTTGGTGACATTGATGATGACGATGACGATGATGAAGCTGATGGTGATGGTGATGTTGGTTGTGATGGTGGTGGCGATGAGGATGATGATGCTGGTGATAATGATGATGATGATGATGATGATGATGATGATGATGATGATGATGATGATGGTGCTGATGATAAGGCTGATGATGATGGTGATGATGGTGACAATAATGGGTAATGATGGCGACGGCGACGACGATAATGATGGTGATGATAGTAGTGATGGAGAGGGAAAGAAGAAGAACCGACTGTGCAAACTTCCACGCGCTACTGCCTAAGCCCTGGTATGAGGAACAGCTGGCAGAGGCTCGGAAGCGGGAGGAGGCCCTGCAGGAGAGCCATGAGCAGCAGATGGCGGCGCTGAAGGAGAGGGCCAGGAGCGCCGTGCAGAAGGTGCGCGAGGAGAGCGAGGAGCAGAAGGCCCGCATACTGGAGGAGCTCCAGCAAGCCATCTCTGAGGACTCGGGCGGCGATTCCGCAGCTCTGCAGCAGCAGCTGGCCGAGGCGCAGCGAAGCCTGGAGGACAACAAGGCGACGATTGCCGACCTGCAGCGCGACCTGGACGCCAAGGATTGCTCGGAGATGCTCATGTCCGACTCGGTGGTGGAGCTGAAGGGCGAGCTCGGCGGCGCCCAGGAGGCCCTGGAGGAGGAGCGCCGGCGGCTTAACGAGCTGCAGGAACGTTACGACGCCACTGGCTCCACCCGAGAGCGCCTCGAGGAGGAGCTGCGCCGGGCAGAGGCCTCCGCAGAGAGCCTACAGCTGGAGCTGATGAGCGCGCAGTGCGACGGGGACGGCAGCCCTGCAGCGGACGTCCTGCAGCAGGAGCTGACAGAGGCTCGGAAGCAGGAGGAGGCCCTGCGGGAGAGCCATGAGCAGCAGATGGCGGCGCTGAAGGAGAGGGCCAGGAGCGCCGTGCAGAAGGTGCGCGAGGAGAGCGAGGAGCAGAAGGCCCGCATACTGGAGGAGCTCCAGCAAGCCATCTCTGAGGACTCGGGCGGCGATTCCGCAGCTCTGCAGCAGCAGCTGGCCGAGGCGCAGCGGAGCCTGGAGGACAACAAGGCGACGATTGCCGACCTGCAGCGCGACCTGGACGCCAAGGATTGCTCGGAGATGCTCATGTCCGACTCGGTGGTGGAGCTGAAGGGCGAGCTCGGCGGCGCCCAGGAGGCCCTGGAGGAGGAGCGCCGGCGGCTTGGCGAGCTGCAGGAACGTTACGACGCCACTGGCTCCACCCGAGAGCGCCTCGAGGAGGAGCTGCGCCGGGCAGAGGCCTCCGCAGAGAGCCTGCAGCTGGAGCTGATGAGCGCGCAGTGCGACGTGGACGGCAGCCCTGCAGTGGACGTCCTGCAGCAGGAGCTGGCAGAGGCTCGGAAGCAGGAGGAGGCCCTGCGGGAGAGCCATGAGCAGCAGATGGCCGCGCTGAAGGAGAAGGCCAGGAGCGCCGTCCAGAAGGTGCGCGAGGAGAGCGAGGAGCAGAAGGCCCGCATACTGGAGGAGCTCCAGCAAGCCATCTCTGAGGACTCGGGCGGCGATTCCGCAGCTCTGCAGCAGCAGCTGGCCGAGGCGCAGCGGAGCCTGGCGGAGAAGGAGGCGAAACTTGCCGACCTGCAGCGCGACCTGGACGCCAAGGACTGCTCGGAGATGCTCATGTCCGACTCGGTGGTGGAGCTGAAAGGCGAGCTCGGCGGCGCCCAGGAGGCCCTGGAGGAGGAGCGCCGGCGGCTTAGCGAGCTGCAGGAACGTTACGACGCCACTGGCTCCACCCGAGAGCGCCTCGAGGAGGAGCTGCGCCGGGCAGAGGCCTCCGCAGAGAGCCTGCAGCTGGAGCTGATGAGCGCGCAGTGCGACGGGGACGGCAGCCCTGCAGTGGACGTCCTGCAGCAGGAGCTGACAGAGGCTCGGAAGCAGGAGGAGGCCCTGCGGGAGAGCCATGAGCAGCAGATGGCGGCGCTGAAGGAGAGGGCCAGGAGCGCCGTGCAGAAGGTGCGCGAGGAGAGCGAGGAGCAGAAGGCCCGCATACTGGAGGAGCTCCAGCAAGCCATCTCTGAGGACTCGGGCGGCGATTCCGCAGCTCTGCAGCAGCAGCTGGCCGAGGCGCAGCGGAGCCTGGCGGAGAAGGAGACGAAACTTGCCGACCTGCAGCGCGACCTGGACGCCAAGGACTGCTCGGAGATGCTCATGTCCGACTCGGTGGTGGAGCTGAAAGGCGAGCTCGGCGGCGCCCAGGAGGCCCTGGAGGAGGAGCGCCGGCGGCTTGGCGAGCTGCAGGAACGTTACGACGCCACTGGCTCCACCCGAGAGCGCCTCGAGGAGGAGCTGCGCCGGGCAGAGGCCTCCGCAGAGAGCCTGCAGCTGGAGCTGATGAGCGCGCAGTGCGACGTGGACGGCAGCCCTGCAGTGGACGTCCTGCAGCAGGAGCTGGCAGAGGCTCGGAAGCAGGAGGAGGCCCTGCGGGAGAGCCATGAGCAGCAGATGGCCGCGCTGAAGGAGAAGGCCAGGAGTGCCGTCCAGAGTGTGAGGGAGCAGGGCGAGGAGCAGAAGGCGCAGCTGCTGGAGGAGCTCCAGCAGGCGGCGGCGGGCAGCGCAAGCTCGACCGACGAGGTCACCAGCATGCAGGAGCAGCTGGTAGAGGCTCGTCAGCGGGAGGATGCCCTGCAGGAGAAGGCGGCGGCCGCGGCTCGTCAGGAGCAGGGGCGGTGCGACCTCCTCCTGGAGGAGGTCCGGGAGAAGGCGCTGGCGGAGAGCGTCGCCCAGGCGGCCGCTCAGGAGCAGGTGGCGAATGCGTCGAGGCTGCAAGAACGGCTGGGGGAAGTCGAGGCGGCCGCTGCGGCGGACGCCGACGCAGCCCTCAGTAAGGTGCGCGCCACCTGGCAGGAAGAGCAGCAGCAGCTAGACGAAGCGCTTGCGCAGGCCCGCAGGCAGGAGGAGGCCCTGAGGGAGAGCCACGAGCAGCAGCTGGCGGCGCTGAAGGAGAGGGCCAGGAGCGCCGTGCAGAGCGTGAGGGAGCAGGGCGAGGAGCAGAAGGCGCAGCTGCTGGAGGAGCTCCAGCAGGCGGCGGCGGGGCGCGCGAGCTCGACCGACGAGGTCGCCGCCCTGCGCTCGCAGCTGGCGGCAGCCGAGAGTTACCAGCAGGAGGCGGTGGCGCTGCAGGAGGCCATGGCGGAGCGCTCCAGCTCGTGCCGGGCCCTCGGTGCCGAGGCGTCTGCCCTGCGGGAGCAGCTGGCGGAGGCGGAGGCCCGGCGGGGGGCGCAGGTCGAGGCTCTGCGAGGGGAGCTGCAGTCCCTGCAGGAGGGGGCGGCGGCCGCGGCTCGGCAGGAGCAGGGGCGGTGCGACCTCCTCCTGGAGGACCGGGGGGGGGGGCAGAACCCCCCACCCCGCCAGGTCGGCAAGCGAGTTGCCCCTCCATCGGTCCTTGGTGCGCGTGGCGGTCGCGCACGCTGGGTCTGGTCCCGGGTCGTTTTCACGGGCGGGTGTTTTGCTGAAGGGGCGCAGCCCGCCCGCAGCTCGCATCCGAGGCGCCGCCGACCAGGCCATGTTTTGCTGACGGGGTCCCTGTCCCCCCCCGAGAGGAGGTCCGGGAGAAGGCGCAGGCGGAGAGCGCCGCCCAGGCGGCCGCTCAGGAGCAGCAGGCGGGCGCGTCGAGGCTGCAGGAGCGGCTGGGGGAGGTTGAGGCGGCCGCCGCGGCAGACGCCGACGCTGCCCTCGGCGAGCTGCGCGCCGTTCTGCAGGAGGAGCAGGGCCAGTGTGCACAGCTCGAGGCGCGCGGCCAGGACCTGGAGCAGCGCGTTCAGCAGGCCGAGGCCGCTCGGAGGGCCAGGGAGGCCAGGGTGGCGGAGCTGGACAGCGAACTGGGCGCGCAGGACGCGGCCCTGGCCGATGCGGAGCTCCCCCTCGTCCAACCTGTCCCCATCCTCGCTGGGCCGCGGCAGCCTGGCCCCACCCCACCAGCCCACTCTCCGAGGTGGGGATCTGCTCCGCGAGAGCCAAAAGGGACAGGCGTAATCATATGTTTCTGGGCTCTGGCCCCCCCCCCCCTACATGCTGGGACGACGACGACGACGCCGACGACGACGGCGACGGCGACGGCGACGGCGGCGGCGACTGCGACGGCGACGGCGACGACCTCCCGCTCCCTGGAGCACCGCAACAGCACGAGGTATCCACAGCAGTACCACCCCGTCCCCACATGGGGGGGGCGGCGGGGGGGACCCCTCGGGGGGGGGGAGGCGGGAGGGGCCCCGATCGAACGGCATAAGCACAAGAACTTGGAGGTCCGCGCGGAGTTCTTGGATCCGCGCCGGACCGCCGCGTTTTTATGCGTATGCCAGTGCTCGTCCCCCTAGATCGAGTCAGCATGGGGGGGGGCCTGGCTCTGGAACGCACCTGTCCCGACCTGGGCGGGCCAGGCGGCCAGTGGGGCCAAAAAGCCGCGGACAGGGGGGTGCTACAGGGATCAGTGGCCATGTCGCCCAGGAGCAGGGCCTCAGAGCGCAGGAGGCCGCTGCCGAGGGCCTGCGGCGGGACCTGGACCGCGAGCGCGAGGCTCGAGTCGGGCGTGTT